TTCTAGGCTTCACTTCGTCATATAGATTTACCATCTCTACTGCATTGCTCACAAAATTCAATGCTCCCTCTAAGCGCTTCTCCTCCAGATAGGAGCGACCTGACTGATTTGTGTCCCCAGAGCTTCCTCCCTCCTTCTTCCCTTTGCTCCTCCTAGTCACACTAGTGTAAATCACATCTTTGCTTTCCTCGTTTTTCTTCTCTGAACTTGTACTGGCGTCTTCTGTGTTGTTTCTGCTTGAGCTTGGTAAGTTGGTGCTGATTGGCTCAGAGGTAGTTGCAGGTTGGGTGACACCTGGTTTCTTCAGCTCATAGGTGTTGACATAAATGTCCTCATCTGTTTTGTTGGGTTCCTACAATTGAAAATAAAATGTTGGTTGGTTGTTGTGCTTATGTAAGTCACATTAAGTAGAAAACTGCTGGATTCCAAGATAAAGTACCTCGTTTCCTTCTCCACTTGGTAGATGTTGGCTCATGGCAACTGTGCTGGCATTACCTGACCCCTGACTCTTAACCAGGTTGTGTTGAGTCCTCTGAGCCCTGAAAAAAACAGCATCGTATAAACCTACATGAATATACTGAAAACAGTTTTGTTGTTCCCACTGGTAGTTTAAAGTTGAGAAAAAAATTCAGAAAACTAAATTGAGTTGTTTTAAGATGTCTCACAGCTCTCGAAACACAGGATCACAGCGTCTGCAGGAAAAATGATGTCATAATGTTGTGCCACGTGTGGCTAGCATTCACAGTGCTAGCACTACCAGCCTTTGGTCCTCCATGCAGGTTAAAGGGGCTATATGTAACTTTTCAAAAATACTGCGTTAGTAGTGAGACCGCATGGCCGTCAGGCGAACTGCACCAGTAACCTGTTGCTCGCTCTCCCTTGCGAGCATCATCATCGGCCACGAAACACTGGATATTTACCGGCATAATGTTTACAGAGGAGGTAAGTGGTGATACACATGTGAAAGTCTGTGAAGGAGTCTGTGTGTCTGTATTCATTCTCCATCCTACAAACAACAGTCTCGGCTGAGAGTAGTGATGGGCGATATGGCCTCAATTTGATATCACAATATTTTTTTGCCTAATGTCGATATTCGATATGATTCGATATTTATCGTATTAAAGTTTATAAATGTAGCCTATAAAACTGAATCTCCAATGTATGAAAAAAAATATCACCCGACCATTGTAATCACTGGCCCAGGAACTTTACTTTTGATCGAAGAATAACAGTCACCAATTTACTCTTGAACCATTGTGATGCAAAAGTCAATTACAACTTTTATTTAATTAATTGAGCTCTAATTATAGAAAATAAAAATATTTTGTATTTTTCTCATATTTATATGCTCCTGTTTATTCACCATGCTGGTAACTGTAAGAGTCGACTTAATCTGATATTAATATGAGACTGTGATAGAGCTGGAATTCTTCTGATCACCTTTCTCTCCTTCTTTCTTCTCTGTGAGAAACTCTTCATCCTTAGATCTTTACTTTCGGAGCTCTCTTAAGAGCTAAGATGCTTTGTGAATAACTTTTATCTTTACCAGGATCTAGTCTTTAACTTTAAGGGGAAATTTAGCTGCAGTGTGTTCCAGCTCCTCCAGCTGTCTGCCACTGTGGCTGAAACTTTTCTCCGTTCAGTTTTCGTCATGCCCTGCTGTCTTTTTTCTGGTGATTTTATTTCTTTGAATGCTGATTTTAGCTCGGCTTTTGTCGGGATATGATGATTTTAAAAACGTTTTACCAAACATGTGTTTTAGTAGAGAAAACCTGCGCTAAAATCTGAGTGCGAGTGTACAATTTGAGTGTAGCTAGCACGCTCGCTGAAGTGACAGCAGTGAAGCCGCCAGCTGAACGTGCAATCAGCTGGCCCAGACTCTGTCAATCATTCATCCGGGCCAGCGGGCCAGTTCTAATGTCGAGCCCTGCGTTATGTGCCCTTTTTTTCTAAGTAATTTGGCCTCGCTCGCATCTTTCTCTTTCTCCTCCGTGTTGGCCGCTTACAAGAGCTAGGCTACTCAGGGGAAGGAGTCTCCTCCGCCCTTTCGTCTCCGCGCAACAAGCGCTGCTGCAGAAATCAAAAACTTCGAAGTAGTTTAAAAAATAAAATCAATGTTCCCTTTTCCATATCAAGCATTAATTAAATATCGATCGAATCGAGCTTCATGATATATCGCCCAGCACTAGCTGAGAGCAGGAGTGTGTGATGATTTTGTCCGTCTATGAGAGCTCTTAGGGTGGATAGAAGTGTGTGGAAGGCGGCCTCTGGCTTGGAGGTGAAGACCGGAGTGTGTGATGAGTTTGTACTGTTGATCTCTGTAAGCGGAGCAGAGTGAGGAGGATGTTGAGAACGTGCATAAAATGTCACTTCCTGGAGTTTTCGGAAAATACGACCCGGGGAAACTTTTTATACGGGAACACAGATAGACAGTGAACATCTACTTTTTCACATCAGTTAACCGTTCACTTATTAATGGGTGATAAAAAACGATTTATACATGTAAAAAGTTACATATAGCCTTTTTAACTTCCACATGCCTGTGCTTTTTACACTTTTGTCAAGATACGCCACTTTAACACAAGATAGCCTACATACAACTTTTATTCAATTTTCAAAATACAGTCAAACCTCTCTGTGCTATGAGATGCCATTTGTCTACTATGCTGATTTACATCTAGGTAGTGGAGAATTAGTCTTTAACTGGAGCTCTAGCTCTCGTTGGTGGCAGGCAGCATTTCAGAAACAACATTGTTATGTGTGCATGTACAACAGTCACTGTACAGGACACACAACAATAAAATGAATTCCAGTAACATTTTGAATTGATTGATTATATTCTGAAACATGAAAAGTGTGTTAAAAATCTAACAAAGTATGAAGTCCAGCAAAGCATGATGGGATATGTCAGCTGTACTACTAGGCTACTACCCACTACAGGAAGGATCACAGATGAGATGAGCAGAGCGGAGGAGTCGCGTGGTGATGGTAAGTTTGTACAAAACATTTCTGGTTAATGGAGTTAATACACACTTACTATGTCATTCCCTTGTTCAACATAATTCTTATATAACTGTACCCATTTGTTGCTCATGCTTATATAACAGACCTTTGTAAATACATTGAGGAGCTAATAATTAGCCAGCTATTGGCTGTGTACTGTCCCTCTGCTGCAGCTGAACGAATGGGAAGTTAAGGGGAATCACTGCTATATAACAGCTGCAGCTCAGGAGAAAGCAGAGTTGTGGTGGTTTGACACTAAAGTGTGTTGAATTATCTCGCAAGCTACGTTAGTCCGTTTATCTTAATGCAAGGCTACTCCCAATAAAGGGAGAGAAAAATCAGTAACTTGTGGGTACTTGACTGAACCCAGCGTCTTTTTCATAGTGTTTAGTGTTTATTCAGCAGCTCTGGGTTCTAACACAGACCAGCTCAGCAGCAGCCTGTGCAGTTCAGCAAGGTGTTGATATGAGCAGTCAATCATATATTAGATTTTTCGGGATTTTTCCAGGTAACAAAGGAATGAGGCTTGTCAGCTGATGATTATAGAGAAAGGGAATTTGTAGACACAAATGGCCTGGATGTTGCAGCTGAGTGTTTGATAGTGGGAAAAAAAGATTATTTTTCTTCAATATTACTCATGATATTCTTATCTCTTTTCTATTGTATGATTCCACTGAAGTTGAACTTGTATAAGTAAAGAAAATTACAATAATTAATATCATAGAATCACAACATTTTGTTGTAATTCTCACATGTTTTTGTTTAAAGATATAAGGTAGAATGTGGTTGCTAATGTTCACATTAAAATATGTATATGAATTAAATATTGACTAAACCCATGTTTTATATATTTTATTGTTGAGTAATTGCATTATGTCTAATATTTACAACAGTTATCAAAGCCAGAGAAATACGTAATTTTATTGTTTTTAATGTTTTTATTTTTCAGGTTGCTGAGGGTGGAAGAAGTAAGGTGCAGGACTACTTCACAAAGGAAAGGAGCATGTTTTATTTGATACTTTCAACTTAAATTTGATGTTTAGTTTTATATAGTTTCTTATTTTTATATTTTTTAACTTCCAAGTAAAGTGTAGTGTTTCAGTGCACTGTTGTTATTCTGGCCAATAAAGGCTTTTGTTCAACATAAAAAAATGATTGTCTTCATTATATATCTTTTCCAAAAGTGTTTGAAAGCTGTGTTTGAAGGATCCAGGCAAAAAATGTGTGTATATCTATGTATCTTTAAAGATCAAAGATAGATTGGCCGATATATATCGGTATCAGATTTCTTTTCTCCCTTATATCGGTATTGGATCCAAAAATCCCATATCAGTCGGGCCCTAGATAGTACCTAAAAGTACCAAAAGCTTTAAATACCTACAGACCTTCATTCATATTTAATCCCAAAGTTGCCGTGAGCAAAATAGAAAAAGAGATCAGTGGTACATCGTTAAATCACAGGTCGGACATTTCTCCAGTCATTTTGGCGTATCATAAAGCTGCATAGAGTCATGTTTATGTCTCACAAACAGACGCAGAGCAGAGGACACTATAAATAACACAAATACATTGGCAACATTTTCGATCCACAGCATTTGACATTTGAAAAATAAAAATATCCTGGATAAGACTTGGTCTGCTCATAATCCAAAAAAATACTTAAAATGTTAAAGATTTTAAATTGAAGACCAGAGGAACACCATATAGAATCTGTATCTTCACTCAAATAAAGAATATAAAATCCCAGTAGGAGGTTTTTAAATATTTTGCATAGTGGTATTCTGTACGGTTTGGTTTGATTTGCTCTTACCTACCTGATAACAAAGAGTAGAGCACATACTAGCACCAGGAAGACGACAATGGTGGCGATGAAGACTGGCAAAATCACTGAAACATACAAAGGACAATATGGGATTATGGTTGAAGCTCCACTTCAAACGAGATTATTATTTTTGGTAAATTCAGGCATAATGTAATAATAATTAATTTTTCACATATTTAAGCTCTCCAGAGGACGTTTTCTTCACCACTTACCCATTCATAAAGCTTTCTTGTTAATACTTAGTAATTATGAGAACAAATTGTGAAATGTGCCGCTTACCAATAAAAGTTATATTCAGTTCAGAGACAAACCTTGACTGTCTGCAGATGTTGGAAGGCTGTAGAAAATAAATCGCTGAGCAACAGATCCCAGAGAGTTTGAGCTGCGACAAAGCACAATGAAGTGATCCTTCCTTTGGGCTTGACTCATGGTGATGAAGCTCACGCCTGTACCATTTCGATGCTCATAACTGACTGCAAACTCTTCTGAGTGATTGACAGCTAACCCATCCAAACTCCATTGTAAAGTGGGAGGAGGATTTCCCGTAGACTCACAGGAACAGTTGACCTGGTTAGCAGTTTTGGTGCAATCAGATGAGGACATGATCTGTGGAGCATCTGTAATGGATGTAGGGAAGAGAGACAAGTAGAGAGTCAAGTAAAGCCATGCTGTATCAAATTTGCAAAAGTAAAAGATAAGGCTTATGGCTATAAAAATAAAAAAATAAAAGTTGACCAGCTGTGAGTGTCCAATTGAATGAGGCAAAGAAAAATTCAATTTCCTCCATGTCAATCGGTTTTCATTCTGGGCCTGTGTCCACAGAGGGCGCTTTTAACGCTGGCAGCGCCTATTTTCAATACAAAACCAATGTAGTTCAGTGTTTTCAGCACTCATAAGTTTCTTGAGGCCGCATTTACTTAGCTGTCAGTTGAAAACAATTCCACTTATGGAACAGCACTCTGCTCTTATATGTCACATCTCCATCACCAACCCATGGCATTTTATCCCAGCCAATAAAATTGCGTGCGGACGAGATCCATGCGCGAATTTAAAGGAGCTGTGCGTGCAACTCAAACAGCCACGCATGCATATTATTTTTGTGAGCACTTGCACAGCATTCACTTGCAGAATTTATCTGCTCACGCGAGCAATATTGTATCCTGCAAGGAGAAAACCATGCTTTGAGCACGAGCAAAATCTCACCTGAGCGTGTAACTACAGTGCTCTCTCCTTTTCTTTTTGCGCTCAAAGCATGGTTTTGTCCTCTCAGGATACAATATTGCTCGCGCAAGCAATTTCATTTGAATGATTGTAATTTTACTTGATATGCACATTCTTACTAAGCAGACCTTTTTGGGGGTAAAGTTAACATTTGCTCGTCTCTAATTTAATTATAGAACCTCATATATAACACATGTTTCCCCTACCATTCAGGTCGTTCAGGGTGGATTACCCAAAGTGATCCCACCACCCTAAAAGAAAGGCACTAAATACTTTATCTATGTAAATTATCCATCCATCCATTATCTATAACTCTTTTCTCCCTTTATTTACAACAAAGTTAATCCTCTACAAAAGAAAGATTTTATGGATTTGAAGTTTCCAATGAAAGAAATTAAAGTTAAACAAAGAGATTTTCATACATTTTTTAAAATGTAACTGAAGAATGACACCTACAATGTACATCTATTTGTCTTGTGTTTGACTGAATACTTCCCAGTTCATTTTCAGCCTTGCAGAAAAACGGGCCTCTCTCCCTAGAAGCTTTGATGTTTAAAACACGTCCAGTCCCCATGAAAGTCTCCTGGCCTCCATCAGCTCTGTACCAGGTGTAGTTCTTTACAGCTGGGTTTGCATTAGCACTGCAAGTCAGTGTCACATTTGTGTCTTCTTGCACTGGACCAGAGGGACTGACTGACACTGTGGTCCCTTTGGGTGAATCTGAAAAGAGAAAAAATAAAGTTGTATTTTTTGAATATGCAGTTTATTTGTGATGAGGGATAGAGAATGTTATGCCTTTATCCTGAACAAGCCCTGCTAAACATCAATAGAAACAGCTAGTAGGACCAGTGTTGGTCTGTAACATATCACTAGTAACGCGTTACAGTAATGATATTACTTTTACAAGTAACGAGTAGAGTAACGAATTACTAATGAAATTCCAGTAATAATATTACAGTTACCCACACAAAAAATAACTTGTTACTACATTACTGTTGTTGTTATTACCCCACTTCAGATTTATGCAACAAACCCCAGATTAATTTTGTTGCGCATCTCAGACAAGCAGGAAGGTAGCCATGGTTGCCAGATATGCAGATTTTGGCTTTTTTTTAGGTGCCGCCGAGAGTAGTTTTTTTTTGGCCATTGGGCTTGTTTTGTCATTTGTTGTCACACATACCTGGCAACCCTGGCTAGCTTGAAAGATGGAAGTTTACATTCAGCGGCTGGAAATATTCCCATTACTTAAGTTTTGTCGACAAGAAAGATAACAAGAACATCATTGTCAATGTAAATTGTGTCCCAGTACCAGGACTCTTTATACTGCAAAAAACAGGACTTCAAAACTCCTTAAGCACTTACAACATCTGACGACAACACAACAACATGAAGCTCGTGTAAATAAACCCCACCAATGAGCTGTGGAGGACAGCTGTAGCCCTACAATGTCTACAAATCAACCAAGACTGGATTTTAATCGAGCACAGCTAAAAGCGAAAAAGAACTAATGAAAGTTGTGGCTTATTACGAAAAGTAATATAACAAGTAGTGTAACATATTACTGATGGCAGGGAGTAATAAGTAAAGTAATTAAATTACTTAAAGAGTAATGAGTAATATATTCCTTTTTTTCAATAACGAGCCCAACACTGAGTAGGACTATAACAGTATGTGTACTCATGCAGAGCCATCACGGTTTGGTCTTCACCGTTCAGTGCATTCATTTTTATTTATTTTTATTAATAAAATGTAAAGTTATAAAGACAATGCACATTCATAACATTTCTGTAATGCACAAGTTTAGCCATCATAGACAGCAGCAATATGTAAAACAGACTAAAGTGGGACAACAAAATTGTAAATCTAGAAGCATATGAAACACTTAAAAGAGAGATGTGCATTAAAACAGGACAGTAATCCTGTTCTCCTGGTAAAACAAACAAGATACCTAAAAGCAGGACATCAACGCAGGAGACGTAGGCCTACATGAGACAGCATACCAATTAGAGGTGGGGGAAAATAGATACAGCATAGAATCACAATATTCTGCTCGCGATATGTTTTTATTTTTAATTGCTGAGGGGTTGCACAATTCATTTTGAGCAAGTTGCATTGTTAAAAATGGCTGCAGTTGTTCAGTCGTCCGTACATGTTTGTGTTCAGTAAAGTTTGATCAGACTGAAACACCATCAGTTCAGATTGTGAGGTGCATGCAGCCTTTTTCTTTCATCACAGTGTTGGTCAGTCTGTGGGCTCGACTCCCATTGTGTAGAAATGAACAGACAGAAGTGAGACAAAAAGACTGAGAATTTTTCCTTATTTGACAAAACAGTTCTTGATTTAGTTTAATTTTGTGTACATAATATGCAGTTAAAAAAATGAAATTCAATATATTATATCACAATTCTCAGCCTGTCGCAAAATGTTTAAAATCGCAATAATATCGTAACGTGACTCAAGCATCGTTATAATATCGTATCAAAGGGCCTCTGGTGATTCCCACCTCTCATTACAATGTAGACCTACAGTACAGTGTTGCTTCCTCAGCGGATAAACAGTTGGTAGAAAAATGTAAATATGAACTTTATTATGTTTGTTATCATCTTACTTTGTTTTTGAAATGGGAGATTGAAGTCCAGTGTTACGTTCATTTATAATCAGATACAACTGTGACCTTTAACCCTGTGATGAAAACACTGAGTGTGAAATGATCTGTTGACCTCTTTGTGAAAAACATGCAGATTGTTTTCTTTATGTTTAAGTATTGACAGGAGTTATTAAACCACTGTGTGACATTAGTCATCACTGCTGTTAGTTTACGTGCAGCTTGCTGGTTTGTTGTTGCATGTTCAAAAATGATAGTATCATCAGCGTACATTAGGATGTCTGACCTAATAGCATTCATTTATTAGATCATTTATGTAGAGGCGAAACAACAAACCCTGTTCATACAATGAATACATCTACAATCAAACATCTGAGTGGAGAGAAAAAAAGGTAATCACACATGGCAGTATGCACACCCCAGGTGACGGCCATGCTCGTAACTGTTTGCTAAATGATTACAAAACAACAAACAAAGAAGAAGAAGCATGTATTTTATGTAATCAATTTAATCACAAGACACACATACTCACATGTAATGTCAGCTGTTAAACTGGTGTTCACAGATGACTCAGTGCTGCCATCTTGTTTTCTGTAGACAGCAGTACAGGAGATTTCCTGTCTGTGATGGAGGTGTGATGCGTTGAAGTTCAGCACAGAGATCTTGACTTTAGTTTTGTCCTGATTCTCCTGCAGGGTCTCCTGACCTTCACCCAGGCCGGGGCTCCATGTCAGATTTGGAGGAAGAGACAGACAGGGAGCTGGAGCAGAGCAGTTCAAACTCACTGAGGTTCCCTCTTTCACCTTCAGTGTGGGCGGAGTCAGAGTCGGTCTGGGTGGATCATCTGTTCAGAAGATACATAAACATGTATAAGCAGTCATTTCTCTCTACTATCAAAGGTTTGATTTATCTTTATTTTAAAGTAATCAATGATAAGGTCAGAGAACTACTACATGACTGAACTGTTAATAAGTTTAATTTAAAACCTACCTTTGACTGAAATTTTCACGCCATTAAAATAGTATTTCAGATTATTGTCACATTCCAATCTAAAATTATGCACTTTGTTGTTTTGAGGTTGCATGTCATTCAGGGTTGTGGTGCAGTCTTTTTTTGTTAGGTCACCGATCAATTGTCCCTTTTGTTTGTGTTGTGGATTACTGCTATCAAACACAACAGGTCCCTTATAATAATCTTTCCATAATGCTTTACAAGTGTTATCTAAGTTTACATTATATTGATCATCTACGTCAAAGGAGCAGGGGATTGTCACACAGGATCCCTTCAGAACCTCTATAG